ATTGAGATTAGAGTTACTAAAATAAATTTTAAAATTTTAAAATTTTAAACATTTTTATTTAAAGGTTTAAATTAAGTTTTTATAAAATTTTAAAATTTTTAAATACTTTTATTTAAAGTAATTAATTCTGTTTACTTAGTATTTTTTGAGATATAATTATTAATAGTTGTAATACTGTATAAAGATTTATTTAAAAAATTTACAATATAAAATTAAATTTATTGAAAAATAATAGTAAATTAGAATAGCAAATAGTATAATAAATTTTTAGCTAAATTGTATTAATTAAATTTATTTCTAAATTATTGTACTAAGTTAAATTAATTAACTAAAAGCAAATTTAATATAAAAAATCTAAACTAGCTCTTTTAAATGTAAATGTGTGATATGTGACTGCTTTTTAATGCAGGCATAAGTTCGTTAATAAATTAACATTATTGCTTCACATTAAATTAACATTTCAAGCTTTATTAATTATGCATATAGATATGAGTTACATATTGCTATCTAAAAAAAATACAACCCTTTTTGTCTTGCGAATATAGATAAATCAGCATACATACTAACTACTTCACTTTCATTTAAAAAATAGTATGATATCGTACGTGCGTATCTTTACGATTCTCTTACAATTAAGTCGTAATAAAACAAGGTAAATTTACGTAATATTACAGGTATCAAACAATTCATGGTTTAATTTTGTCACGGATGGCATGCAAAAAAAGCCGAAACACTTGGACAATCGATCGATCATATTGTTTTTTCGGCTATTTGATTTATATGCCATTATTAAGTTTGGTTACAGAACTTTAATTTGAAGCATTATGCAATTTAAAGTAAATATGGGCGTTTCCGATTTAATCGGTGGTGCGTCGGATTTGTCATATTATGTGGGGAGCATCGGTTAATGATACATAACATGAACACGAAATTAATCCCGAAATAGGTTAATTGACAAATTAGTTTTGTATTGTCGTCAATAAGATCAAATAAAAGTCTTTTAATTTGTAAGAGATAACAATGAGACGAGACGAGACAATAGAAGCGACGGAAATAATATCACTAGCCATTTTTCTAATAATGTGATTGTTTGGGACGTTACTAAAAAAATTATTAATAATAATTAATAAAATTCGTAAAAATACTTTTTGATACGTCATCAAATACTCATTTCAAATATTCATTTCAAATATTCATTTCAAATACTCATCATTTCAAATACTCACGACACATGCTTAAACCATCATATATTATGTAAGCAAAGAGGGGAGGCTTCATTCAAAGCCCCAAATTCGTTAGGGGTTTTTTTTTCATTTATCGTAGTTATTTTTATAACACTTGAAACTTTTTCCCAACCATCCTACAAATGAAACGTATAGGGAAGTACTTCTGATTTTTATGTATTGCCTTACATGTTTCGATATCTTCATATCTGCTAATCAATTTAAGCATATCTGAAATTAAAACCGCCATTTTTCTTATGCAAGTTAAAGACTGTTTTTCAAGAGTTCAGCAAATTCGCCCAAAAGATAAATTCTTGTTTCCCGGATTTGAGATTATTGATTTAATTCTGGTTTTTTTTCATTATTTACACAATCGTTGGGACCACTAAACTTTTTTGATAGTTTAGAATAGAAAAATGGTGTCAAATCAGATTACCATCTGTATTAAGCTAGATTAATCCGTTAACGTATGTACAAGATCTATCACTTTTATCATTTTATATACTGTATACATATGTACATACTCACCTAAATCTATAGAAGATTATCATATAAACATTAAAAAAAAAATAAGTGAAAAACAGTGACTCTAAAAAGTATTTAATTTTAAATAAATTTATTTCCTAAATTGTCTAAACCTAAAAAAATTTCAGTACCTGTGTAGCTCTTCAAGTAATCGACTATAGAAGTGAATACTAGTAAATACTAGTATCTTAGCATTTATAAAATAAAATAGAATTAGTAAACCTTAAAAATTCAAGTATGTGGTGATTTTTTTAAAAAACACGAATTTTTTTTCTCAGGTCATTTTCTTACAAGGAAATGTGCTACAAAACATAACGATAATACGGTAATATATAGTAAGGATAATAATAATTAATTTTAATTAATCATTAATTTTAGTAATTCTAATATATATTATAATTTAATAAAATTTTGGTATGTGTAAAAAGTCATGAGAGATTGGCAAGAATCATGTGTACGTTATCCTATCTGTCGATACCATAATAAAGTACGTATATATTTTGTATAATTTGTATAATTTATAAATAAAATACATCACTATTATACATGATGATCGTTAAGAGTCATACGTAAAGTATTAGTATGTCCATATATACCAGTAATACGTAAATGCACATATGTATAATACAGATAAGATATTACGAGATGATTTACTAACTTCTAATAAACTAGGTATGAATGCATGACTTGTCGACTTAATAAATAGCGGATAGGCAGTTTTGCAGAATGATCCAGACTAACCTCTGACAAAGAAGTTTTCCAAATACGATAAAGTAGTGAAACGATGATAGTTGGCGTTTTAAATGACGAGAGGTATGTGAACATCCACCCGCCACCAAAAAAACTATTACTTTCTTAGCATTTTACGTATTTATGGATTCAATGATTTTCATAGTAAAGACATGTGATAGAAACTCGATTAAGAACATGGAAGAATTTTGGTCAGATTTTTTCTTGATCGTCGTCAAGGCAAACACACTAAATTGAGAGTATGTAAGGGTTCGAACCCGATCCTGAAATTACATTGAAAAATTCCGGAACGTGCCAGTTTTTTGTGTAAAATCTTTTGTTTTCCCAAGGTATGTTACTGTTCCTATAAAAACTTGTTAAAGTTAGGTCACATAAAAAACCATATGCGTATGTATCTATTCATATCCAACCATCAAGCAATGTGCCCTAAAATCCCTAATAAGATTCAATTATTCCATTTTTCCATCTGTTGAAACCTAATATAATAAATATATAAGTTAGGAGAATGTGGTACATTTATAATAATTTCTAATCTCTGCGCCAATACAGCAATAGTAGTTAAGTACACGTTTTTTTTTAGAACAGGGATGATATACAATAATTTAAAGAAGAATCAAGAACTTTAAGCTAGATTAAAACAAGATTTAATTTCAACCATAAGTTGTGGGGCCAATTTTTATCGGGTTATCATAAGCATAAAATTTCAAAAGAAGTCTTTCTTTTTTAATGAGTTTTCTTTTTTTAATGAGTGGATTTATTAGGAAGATTATGCCGGATTTTGCATTCCGTTGCAGAAGAAGAAGAAAAAAAAAAACTTGAAAGTTGCAATAAAGAAGATAAGCTGATACAAGTCCACTATTCAGTCGAAAAAACGCAATCTGTTTTTCATTTTTAGATATAAACTGGTTAATACATGAATATAAAAAGGGCACTCAAAGAATATCTTTCTTATATAGGAAATATTTGGTGTGAAAAAGGTATGTTTTAATATCTTACGCAGAGAAAATGGATTAGTGGTTATAACTAGAGTACTTTTTATATTTATCCTTTTTCAGGAGAAATTTTACAAATTGCGAGAATAACGAAAGATTCAGCAAACAAGAACCTCAAATCGATTTTTGAAAATTTTATTGGTAAAATAAAATCATGCAATGTCAGGGAAATCTTATTTTCCATTCTTTATTTAAAAAAAAATTAATTCTTTGATATCGGATAATCACACTAGAGGTCAAGACTAAACAAGTGAAAACCCGTTTACAGAATGCATATTTTCTTATAAATTCATTAGAGTATTTAAAAAAGAGTATATGTGGATCATGATCTCAAGTGTATGCTAGGGTTTAAATAATAATTTCCAAAAGAATGCTATTTATAATTTATCTTTATGGTAAACGGGCAAAAGTTTTTTTTTTTATTATGTAATAATAATAAACGCTATTTTATGGTGAAATTTGAAAATTATCATACTGTATTAGCTGTAAAATAAATAACTTATAATAATTGAAAAAGGGCTGTGCGTTCAATTTCTTCCGGACATGCAACTTGAGTATTCTGTGTTTTAGATCGAGATTTATCTAGGCAAAAAAATAAAAAGTTATTCTATCATGGCTAGATGAGCTAGGTTAGGATTCAACATTACTATTGGTGTTCCTTTAATACTATTAATAATAACTTTTTTAGAGAAACAGTGTTGCAGTACAAAAAAAAAAAAATTTGTGATGTGATTTTTTTTTTTTTTTTTTTCATTGCAAGTGCGCACGTACAGTATGTACATTATCGTTATCTGTTATATTCTTATTTCGTCTATAATAAAGGTGTGAAAAATTTTAATCCTCTTTCATAAAGTACTTTCTAAAAACGAAAGGAGATATTCTAATGTATAACCGCCACATAACCAAAAATCTATCAAGCTGTGATTATTTTTTTGTCCATTGTTTCGATACGTTTTTAAGAGATAGTTCACATTACCTACATCATCTACTATACTTCGTTTGTTAATGCTAGCTAGTTCTTGGGGTTTATAGAGTCTAGGGATACAAATAATATTAGGATATATAGATAAGTTTTAATAATTTGTCTCGAATAAAACGTCTCATAGGTGCTGATTAATGAAGTGCTTTTTTTTCACAGACTAAATAAGAATCTCTAGTAAACACAATGCTTTTGAATTCTTTTAATTAAAATAAATAAATATTTATACATATATGTTAGACACTTAGGTGCAGGTTTTGTCGAAAAATAAAGAAATAATGTGATAATGCAGTAATATAATTATCACATTTATACAGTTTATTGTAAAATGGTTTGGAATTCTATGAATTCTATATATAATTTTATATATGCTTACAGTAATTTATTTATATTTGTATTTATAATAATATATTATATGATACATTAAAAAAAAAAATATATACATCCATCTTTTTTTTTTGAACGCTCAAATATTTATATAAATAAACTGAAAATTCATATTTCTTTGAAAAATAATCTTAACAAAATCTGATGGTTCTCAAACCTTCAAATATCTTTTCAGCTGAACATCACGTCGCGAGTTTAAAATACCCTCTTAATAGTAAAATGCAACAATTAAATATGGCACCTGTTATTCAACCTTCTTCAATACCCACTGTTCGTCAATCTACAATCAATAATTGTATTGAACCTGAAGTCGATTGTACTGACGATTCTTTACATGAGGATGAATCTCAATTGACTCCGGATTCTCCAAAGAGCGGCATATTGCCTCATTTCGAATACGTATCTTACGATAGAGTTCAAGACATTTATGAACAACGAAAGGGTCATTTCTACTTCATTCCTGAGGGTTTTAAACCTGTTCTAGTTCCAAATGACTCTAAAGTTCCTGCTGTACCCAATTTATTTGAAAATTCTAAACCCGTACCCTATGAACCTAATGTCCCGAGGATGCTTCCTGATTCGGATGCACGTCTTTCTTCATCCGACCTTCCCTGTAGAGTAGCTGGCTCAAAGAAAGAAAATTCTGCAATTGACAAGAAACCTTCAATACCATCAAATGCTTTCATTCTTTATCATCAGGACATCTCAAACGATGATATATCTAAAGAAATTGGGATGTGGAGCAAAGATTCTTTAAAAGTACGTTTTGACTAATTTTTTGTTTTTTTCCATAACCGTGTAATGTATTATGTTGATTATATCCAACTTTCAATCGTCTGCCCTTACTATATATACAAACTCATCATTGATTAAAATATTTTTACATACAAAAAAGTAAATATTTAGTTGATTTAATCAACTAAATACTATATTATTATAATATGTATTTTTTTTTTTAAAAAAAAAAAACATTACAATCGTCCACCTAAAGTTACAAGTTCGCTGAATTCACTTTTTTTAAAATCAAATATAAATATCGATGTTTTTGAGTTCTCACCACTTTCTCTATTAAGTAATTTTACGCATTCAATATAAGCCTTGTTTTATACCTTTGATTGAATGATTGGTAGTACATTAGTAAGAACAGTTAACCCAATGATCACAATATCATACGTATGTCTATCATGTTGATCACTGGGTTAATTGTTCTTCAAGTGCGTCATCGCCGACTGCGTCTATAATATTATCGACTAACTATTACACAATTTATCAATTATGTCCTTTCCACGTTAATAGCAGCAACAACGAAGACGACAACAACGACGAGGCTTTTATGCGACTAGAGTATGTACAAATTGCCGAAAAAAACACGCAAAATGTTCTGGAGAAACAACTTGTGAACGTTGTACATTACGTAACCTTGAATGTACTTTTATTGATTCGAGTAAAAAACGTGGGCCGAAGACGAATGGTAAACACCTAGAACAGGTTTATGCTCTTAACGGTCTTGAAAACAACTTTGAAGGAACATCTATGTTGTCCTCTGTAATCCTTAATCCCATGCAAGGTCACGCATCGATTCCATCATCACCATCAGGATATCCACAACAACAACTGGAAAACATTTTCGAGTTTACTTTTCATTGTGACTCATATGAAGAACCAAATAGTCACGCTTTTCAAGAAGCCAGTTCATTTTCTTATCAATCATGGACCAATACTGAATACGTTATGCAAAGCAACAACCTTATAGACAACACATTTAATAATAATACTATCTTTTTATATGACAACTTATTTTTTGATAATAACCATATGCCATCATTCCATTATTAAAACATTGTATTTTTGTCTTTTGGTTTAAAGATGTCGCTAAGCCAAATTTTCAAGCAACTGAACCATTAATTTTATATTTATTGTTATTTATTTACATTGTAATTTAAATGACTTTATCAATTAAATTAATCTTATTTAAGAGTACATAGCAAAAATAATTCTAAGAAACTAATATTATGAATATATTGCTTTTATTATTATGGTAACTGGTGTGAATAAAAATGAACCAATATATACAATAAACAATCATTTTCAAATCATACAGTCGTCTAGCACTGCGTACAGTTGTCTGAATTAAACTAGAACCGTCTAATACTGCATACGGTACCTGGCGTGTAGGGATGGATTCGGTTACAAAGAGCCACGATTATTCATAGTCAATTTTCTAAATACTGAGATGATTTTTTTATTTTTGAGCTTTTAATTAAAGTTGTTCAGAATTAAATTCTGTTCATCCCATCTTATACCAGCGGCTACAACGTTGACAAAATTTGAAATTCTGAGTTTCAGAGAAGGTATCGTTCTTTCCAATTATAAGATGGGATAAACAGAATTTAATTCTGAACAACTTTAATTAAAAGCTCAAAAATAAAAAATCATCTAAATATTTAGCAAATTGCTATTAATGATTGTGACCATTTGTACCCTTACCGGTGTGACAGTTTTTACGTACGTACGTACATGGTGAAAAATTCAAATACCGTAAACTGCCATATACAAGACCCGGTGTGACAAATAATGTAGATCTATTTTTAAAATATTATTTATGCGTGATTTAAAAATTTTTCAATTGTAAAAAATTGCATCACACCGGGTCTTGCAATAGTTTACATCACATGGCACATATAAATAATATTTTAAAAATTAATCTATATTATTTGTAACATCGGGTCGTATAAACGCTCATTTTAATAGCACATACACTATAACAAATTTTTTACATTAGTACTTACTATACGATGAAGATTGTATTCATTGAAAACTCTACTTGGGTTATCCAGATAAGTCGATAAGTCGCCATAAATTTTGGGACCATATAACGGCAATTTCTACTCGAGTACAATCGCCGCTATTAACTCATTTAGCTAACATTTAAGGTTAATTTAGAGTTATAACTAGCTAACCTTACAGCAATTATTGGGAAGTCTACCAGAACTAGTCTTACATCTGTACAATAACTATTATTTGAGAGAGTGTTTATGGTTTTGATTTTGAAGGACTACAGTATTTTTGCGAAATAACGCCCATGGATGTTATTCCGAGTAACGGCCCGAATTAAGCTTAATTTCAAATTATACACCTGGCGATAATACGGCTAAGTTTTTTTTTTTTTTTTGAGAATTATACTTTTTTATGACATATGTTTGTGGGTCATTATAATGAAATTATTTTATGAGTTTAATTTCCAGGTTAAATAAATTTAATAATCACATGAAATAGATATCTACATTCAACGAATTGACAAATGAAATAATTTGAACTCTAATTGCCGATTTAAAAACTTACAATTGTAGGAAATAATCCTTGCAAACATAATTTTCACGTTAAGATGATATTAGTAAGCAAATGAAATGATTTTGTAATAGTTATTTCCTGGGCAGTTGGGTATAAGCGGGGCTGAAAGTCCCGCTTATCACATAGTGCCCAGGAC